TGCCAATGGCCAAGAGATGAGCCATTTTTTCTCTCTGGGCCTCCATTTCTGCCTGAGCAAAATGAGAGGGCTGGGTTACCTGACTGCCTATGGAGTCTTTGAGCACCATGGTTCACAATTTCAGTCTGATAAGGACTACAAATGCATTCAGACCACGCTTGTCTTGGGATGTAGAACAGAGACCAATGGTGCAGGGAACAGAGCCATCCTACCTGGCTTCAGACCTCTGTCCCTGACCTGCTCTGTGGCCGTGGGCAAGCTACTCAACCTCTCTGTTCCTCAGTGCCTTTGCTGGTATAGATTAACAGCCCTCCCTGACAGAGTTGCTAAGAGGGGGAACGAGGTTTTGCATATAAGGTTCTTGGGACAGTGCCTGCTGGCACACAGTAAATGCTTGATACAAGAGAGCTGACATTATCGTGTCTCATGGCCCACTCAGTGACTAATGGCCCTCTTCAAAAAGCACAGTGGATGATGACTCCCTGGGAGCCCCTTCAAGAAGTCCCCTTCTAAGAGAGGCCAGTTGCATGCACAACTGTACATCTCACAAGGATGGAGAGAGACCCATCCTGAGCTGGAGCTGAATAACCAAGAGGGGGTGGGCGTGGGGGTGGGAATATTCATACGTATAAAAGCCCAATTTCTAAGCTAAGGTGATGCAGCTGAAGGAAGGCTTAGCTCTGGACTGAGACACCTACTTTTGGGGTCCCAAGGTCTCCAGATACGGGAGAAAGTGAGTCTTACACTCATGACTCAGGAGAGTTGGGCCAAGGCCTTTCCGAAGGCACCACTTAGAGAGGGGACACCTCCTTACGTTCCTCCAGGCCTTGGCAAGGAAAAGTCTTCAAGCAATGGCGGTAACCCCAGTCTTCTATCCCTGCTTGTGCCCAGCCTGCCCTTCCCCTCCCTATGGCAATTCCTGAAGAGAAAGGAAATGGTTCTGAGCTGACACACAGCAGCATGGGCGGGACATTCCCAAATCATTCCTTCCTAGCGATGAAAGACCAGAACCTTCCCGACTGCTGAGTTTGACAGACAATCTGTCTTCATTTCTAAATGTCCTCTAAGAAGAACAAATCTGTTACACTCTGGCCAGCACATCTCCATGGCAATGATATAATGAAATCTGACCCAAACGTCAAACTCTAACACGTCTCAGAATTTAACAAAGGATGGAGTAGATGGAGTGGAGGGGAAGGACACCCGGGAAACTCTCTTCTGGCAGCCCAGCCCCACAGCCGCCCTCCATGCCTGTTCATGGAAATGGTAGACGCCAATGCCCTCCGTGTGCCTGTGAGTCACATTGGAAAAAAATCATTTGGGCCAGAAAAGAGGCTGCTCATAGCCAGTGTGGAACATCTCCCCATCCGCTGGCCTTCAAACCTGCTGAAGCGAACATTTCAGAAAGGAAGTAGAGCAGAGCCCAATTTCCCAGCCGTGTGGAAGCTGAGAGAGAGATGCTTCCAGCTCAAGGATGCCGAGCATGGCTGCCTTCTACAGTCAGGCCTGCCTCCGCCTGCCTCCTCTCACCATCAGGAGGGGCCTCCTAGACCACGGGAGAGGTCTGGAGTGAGCTGCCTCCTTTCCCCCAAAGCTCAGCAAGTCCCAGCATGTTCTTGTCTGCTGAGGAGACCTGACTTCAAACCAGACCCAAGGTGCCCCTGTGTCAGGGCAGTGGGACAGGGCTGCTAATGCTTATGCTTATGCTTTCAAGGTAGGGAGACAATAATAGAAACAGCTGATGTTATGGAGAACTCCCTAAGGGTCAGGTCCTGGTTACACACTTCATGTGCATTTGAGACACTGATTTCATATGAGCCTGCTACTATTATCACCATGTCACTGATGAGGAAACAGCTGATTTCTCCTTTACAAAGCAAGCCAACAGCAAACCTGGGCAGGTGGATGCTGGGGTGCGCGTGGTCCTGAGAGCTCAGATGCCTTCTGGCTCATGCAATCATGCTGGCAGAATATATTCCTGCCTGGGGGGGTGTCTTCTGTGGACAACATGAGACAGGAGATGGAGACAGGAGCTTCCAAGGGCACTGAGGGCGCAACTCTGGAAGCAAATGTCACTGCATTGATGCTGTTCCTGTCCTGCCCTCTTCCTGCCCCCACAGGGGCTTCTGGCCTCTACCTGCCCCATCTGGCTGCCTCTTGGCGAGAGCTGTGGCTTTTACCGCCTTAGTCTCCAAGGTGATGGCTCATTTATGTCCTTTTATTAGGCAAACAGCTTTGTGCAGAATGGATGTCACTTGCTGAATGTCACCAGCAGGGGCAGGGGAGTCATGCAGAATCCCGATGACCCCTTATAAGGTCTGGGCAAAACAGTGGGAAGCTCAGTCTGTGTGTGTCTCTTCTCTGGTGGGAGTAAGGTTCCAGGCTAGCTGGAGCGTCCTGGCTTCCCTGCTATAGCCTGCCTCTTCCTGACTCTCTATCTGCCCCCTGATCTTTGCAGGGGAAGGCTCTCTCCACCCTGGAGACAAGCATCCCTCAGACTTGGGGTGGGACAGGGGTCCTCTCTGTGGTGCCAAGTCAGCCTGCCTCAGAGCCCATGGCCCATCTGGCTGCAGAATGAGGCACAATTGACCAAGGCTCAGCTTGGCACTCAGCCCTGCCCACCCCAGGGTACCAGTTGGCAGCCCCTTGGCTTGCCTGCCATGCTTTCCCCAGGCTCCTCTATTCCTTTTTCCCCCATTGACACCTGCAAGTTCCTAAGACCCTGAGCTGTGCCTCTCTCTCTCTCTCTCACACACACAGAGGAGGCCCCAATCGCAACACTCAGGAGGCACACAATTTGCTGAATGAACATTGAAAGGCCACCTCATCCCCTCACACACCCCCTCCCCACCACTGGTGTCTCCCAGGAACCCTGGCACCCTGCACTGCCCCGGAACCTGAGGGCTCCTTTGGAAAGATGACAAAGCATAGCCTCAGGGCTTAGGGCAGGTGATTCGCCACGATGCCAGCGTGCTACAAATGCCCTAGAAGCAGGAAAGATGATAGATCACAGGACTTGGAGGGGCCTTCACACTGCTCAGCACTCTCATTTGATAGACAGGGACACTGAGGCTTAGAAGGAAGGGATTTGCCTAATCTACACAGCACATAGGAGCAGAGCCAAGGCTGGAGTCTAGGCCCCCTCTCCCAGGCCCAGCCATGTCCCCTCCTCCACCATGCTGCTGCTGCTGCTGCCTCTTACTGGAAGAGCTCACCCTGAGGGGGCAGGAGTCCCCCCTGCCCACCCAGCTGACCTCTGCAGGGCCCAGCTCCCCACCCCAGCAGAGATAGAGCCCACAGGCTCAGTCTCCCAGGGACTGTGGCAATTCATTTTCACTGTGTTGCTCAGCACCCCTGGGGAAAATCTGTGTTCCTAGCATCCCAGAACAGTGTGGGCCTGGCAGCCTGAACTCCAGGGTGGCCTCCTGGAGACTGGGGAAGGCAGAGGAAACAAAGAGCAGGCGGGGCCTGTGAGTGGGCAGAGTCACTCCCACCCTGAGCAGAGACACAGTAGGGCCTTGGGGTGGAGCAGTGAGAGAAGGAAGCTACAGGGCCCAGCACCTCCCCACTCCCAGGAAGGAGAAGGCCACAGAGACTCGCCAACAGGGGAAGGTAGGAAAGGAAGGAAGGGAAGGAAAGGAGGGAAATGCGGTCTCTGCCTTACTGTGTCCTGAAGGGTTCTGGACCCCAATTCAGTTCCTCTGAGCAGCCCCTCAGGGTCCCACACAGCAGGGCTGGTGGGAAAGGGACAGGGCAGCCAGGGAGACCTTGTACACTGCTCAGTTCTCTTTCCTCCTCAAGGCCTTCAACTACCAGTTCTGAAAGGGACAACAGATGGTGTGAAGCCATGGAGAGTCGGAAGCAGGAAAGGATTTCAACCCAACTAGGAGCCATCCAGGGATCCCAAGGTTCCTGAGATGGATCTAAGCCCTCACTCTTGTAACTACACTCAGCTACCATCTCAGCACATTTGGGGATGCAACAGGGATGTAGGAGGGGACTATTCACCCCTCCCCACAGGCCTGGAGACACAGCCCAGAGGGCAAGGACTTCTATACTTGGTGACACAGCAGCAATCCTGCTCTAGAGACAGAAGCCAAGTCTCTGCACCCACTCAGGGACTCTGACCACCAAGGCCAGTGACTTCCCAGCTCCCAAACCCTCTCACAGGCCCTGGCTGCTCCAGTATCAAGTACAAAAGGGAAAGGTTCTTCCAGGACTCCTGGGGAACATTTCTGCTGATTGTCCCCAAGGAGAAAGAGAAGAGGAAGAAAAAGGGGCAGGGTCTCTACAGAATGACTTTAATGGGAAGTGAGCTTGGGGGTGTCTAATGGAAGCCAGAAGGGACATGGAGGAGGACAGAGGCCAGAGCATGGGAGGAGGCTCCAAGGCCCTATTGCTCAGCTCCAGGGGTACCACCCTTGCCCTGATAGTCCGGAGACTCACACACTCAAGGTTGAGCACTAGCAAAGGCCCTCATCTCTCTATTGTACTTAAAAAAATTTTTTTTGGTGGTTCGTTAATCTGTCTTTATGGGATCACAGGATTTTCTTGCTCTTACCCCCTCAGCATAGCCCCTTCTTTTTTCTGCTTCACGGTCTGACTCTAAGGATATAAAAAGGAACCTTGCCAGGGAGGGGATTTCTGGGGGAGGGAGGGCTGATAGCCAGGAGAGATGAGCCCAGTACAGACACAGCCCTAGTCTTCTCCTGGAGGTGGCAGGGAGGGCTGGCTTTTTGTTTACTTTGAGCATGTCTGTATCCCTGGACCCTGGAGGGAGCTTGGCCCTGGGTGTATTGGGCAGTGAAGGGCCAGGACAGACCCAGCACAGTCCTATCGGGGTTACGAGCTAAAGACCAAGATTCTGGACCTGGTGGCCAAACAGGAAGTTGCAAGGGCTCCAGGGAGCATGTCACTAAGGAATTGGCCCAGACTTCAGAGGTCCTGCTGAGAGCCCAGGAGGGCACCGTGGGTGTGGGAGGAGGGGCGGGGGCACTCACTCCAGCACATCTCTGTTGAACTGCTTCTTGCTGTTGCCCAGGAACTCTCCGATCATCTGGCGGCTCAGGCCCTTCCGCTGGAGGAGGAAATGGGCCACGCCAATGGGGGTGTCGGGGATGAAGCCGCGTGAGATCAGGAACTGGATGCCCTTGTCCGGGTTTCTGTGGGTGGGGAGAAGCAATAGAGCATGCGCCAGGGCTGCCATGGCTTCTTTCCCTTTCTTCCAGCCCATGAAACCCATAACTGTGCCCTGGGGCCCCTGGAAACTAAACTGACTTCCCAGGAAATGCCAGGTGCCCCCCATTGGAAGTACCTCTCACCAGAGCCTCAACCCCCTGAATGTCCTCACAGAGGATAGTGTGGGGCCAGAAGTGGGTGATGGGCCATCTGGTGCAAGCAAGGTGAATTCCAGAGCAGATGGAGGAGAGGAGACCTTTTCTGTTCCCACCTCCTCCATCTCCTATACCCATGACCCAGCAAGGAGGCCACCCCCCCCCAATTCTGTTATCAACACTCAGGTCCCCACCTCTGGCATCCCCTATCTTTGAGAGAGGATAAGGGAAACAGGAGTGGGATCCCTAATACCCCCTCTTCCCTCCACAAGGGGGACACAGAATCCTGCTCCTCAGGTTCACATTCCCCAGGCTGGGATCTCTGTCTGTGGGTGTGGTAGCCCAGTACGCTCTGCAAATCCACACTGCTCTCTGGGCTGCTTCTTATAAGCCCAGAGGAAGATAAGTACAGAATTAGAGGGTAGCACTTAGAACTTTTTCTAGCACTTTGACATTTCCAGGTCAACCAGGCATGTGATTGTTTTTCTAGCAATTCATTTTTATTGTATTTTACAAAGGTATCAGCCCACAATACATGGAGGGGGAGATAGTTGGAGGGAGATGAGTTTTCACGTGCACACAGAAGTGACGCTGTGCATGAGGAGGCTGTGTTTGCCAGGGCCGAAGCCTGACACACAAGAAAGAGCAGCAGATCTGGCTTCACCTACGTCTGCAGAGGACTGGCTGTTTATTGTGCAACTTGCCTTACATATTTTCAGAGAAAACAGCATAATACCCATCTCTGGCTATTGTTGGGAAGATTACAGATGCTTTATTTAAGGTCAGTTATGAACAGTAACTATTCCCCAGAGAATAGGAGTTTTCTGAGATGAGGGGATGTGTCCCACACAGCTTTGTGGGTGTAGTCCTGGCACTCAATGATAACAGCTGAATGGCAGGGGAGATGCTCTGGGTCATGAGGGTTATGGTTCAGATGAGTGCCTCTGGGATCGTGACTTTCCTCAGGAGGGGCGTGTGTGCCTCCTTGGCTTGGCCCTGGCTGTGTACATTTTGGTTGCAGGGCTGGTCTGGTTGGGGTCTCAGAGCTGTAGCAATTGGTCATTTCTCTCCTTCCATTCCCCGGTTCATGTACAGCACCTCTGCCTGCTTCACACTCTCTCTCCCGTTCCCCACTCCTCTGTGCACCCCTGCCCCCTCCTGCCTTCTCCCTGTATTCCCTGCATCACTCAGGCCCTCATGAGATACTGCCCTTCTCCTAACTTCGTACTCTAATGATTCTGCTCAATCCTTGAGCAGCCTGTACTAGTATTTACTTAATACTGTCTTGTCTTTTGAGTTTTCTCACTTTTGAAACCTTGGCTTCATCTTAAACAGTGACAGTTGTGAAAACTCGTGTTTGATGTGTTATTTTTTTTTTCCTTAATCCTTCTTAAAATAGACTCAGAACTATTAAAAATAACATGTGTGCTTCCTAAGCATTATCTCAGAGGTCAGGCATGGCACACACACTGCCAGGGAGAACCCTGGGATGAAGTGGTAAATAATGGGGAGGGTGGGGCGGAGGGGCTCTCCTCCTCCCTCCCTCCTTTCCTCCCTCCCTCCCTGGCAGTGCCCAGGACCCTCTGGTGCTCCTTGGCCAGTGCTCACTCACATGTTGAAGAGGTTGAGGCCAATGCGGTAGAGCCGCTTGCGCAGGGTGTCTGTGGAGAGCGTGGGAGACTTGCAGCTGGCTGGGTTCTCGCAGTGGTAGCGTGGCAGACTCAGGATCATGGCCTGCAAGGCCTCCTTGGAGGCGGCGGCTGACGATTCCGAGCCTGACTTGGCGGACTTGGTGGACGTGCTGCTGCTCAGGTGCTCTGAGCTGTTGCCCGCCTCGGCCTCGGCCTCGGCCTCGGCCCCAGCCCCAGCCCCGGCCTCAGCCTCGGGCCCCTGACCCGCCTCCTCTGTCCCCTTCTCCTCTTCCTCCTCTGCCTGGGCGACCGAGGCCTCCTTTTCCACCGCCGTCTCAGCGGCCCCCACCAGGTCTGCGCGCAGGGCCTCGCCCGCCTCCGCCTCTGCGCCTGTGTCCTCTACAGGTACGTCCCCCTGGCCGGAGCCTGGGGCTTGTGGGGCTTCCTGCCCTGGCGCCTCGCCCTGCTCTGCCCTGACCGCTGAGGGCTCTGCTAGGGCCTGGGCTGTCTGCGCACCGCGGCAGTTGGCCACCGACAGAGCCGTGGAGGAGGAGACGGAGATGTTCTGGTTGGCGATCTGCACTGTCACATCCCGGAAGGCCATCATGAGAGTGCTGCCGTGGCCCTGTGGCAGGCCGGCAGCCTCAGCTGCTTCATCTGCGGGCCCCGGGGCGGCGATCTCAGTCTCCCTCATGTCGGCCTCCAGGCCTGGTGACCCCGCAGCAGCCTGCAGGGCCTGGTGCAGCTGGTAGGCGCTGCTCTCCTGCAGGGAGCACACGGTCTTGAGGCTCCAGGTGCTGAGGGCGTCGTCGATGGACTTGGCCAGGGACTGCACCTGCTCGGTGAAGGAGTCCTCTAGCTCGGTGAGCGTGCCCGAGAGGCTGGGCGGCAGGGAGGGCGAGCGCACCAGCGGCAGCCCCACGAGCCCGCAGCCCTCCAGGAGCGCCTTCTCGGCCGCCAGGCTCTCAGCCGTGGGCGCCCGCGCCTTGCGCAGGGAGATGCGTCGCGGCAGGCGGCTCTCCAGGAGCGAGTTGCGAATCTTCTCAAAGTTCTTGCTGAGCTGGTACTGGCGAAAAGCGGTTTGGATGGTGCAAGCGGCGCGCCGGGATACCAGGTGGCCCCCATACTTGTGTTCTAGCATTTCAATCTGCAATGAGAAGGACAGAGAGGAGGAAAAGCTCAGGGGGGAGGCGAGAGGTGCAGCCCTCCTGAGGGCTGGGGCTGGTGGGTTTCAACCCACGCGGGGGTCACCTCACCGCACTTTGGCGGGACCAGGAATGTGCAGGTCAAGTGTGAAAATTCCTGGGGGTCAGGGCCGGAGATAGCAGGTCCTTGGCGAGGCTCCTAGAGATGTAGGACAGAGGATTCCATTCTGGGGATGGTTAATGTCCCCAGGGCAGGAGAGCAAAGAAGGGCCCAGGTGCTGCTGCTGGTACTCACATACCCCTGCTGTGGCGGTTATTAAAAAATGTTCATATCAGAGATGCATAGAGAAGTATTTATGGGTGAAACGCATGATTATCTTGAATTTGTATTAAAATACTGTCAAAGAATGTGGAAGGGTTAGATGACACAGTATTAATATTAATAAAAATATTTATAGGAATGGTTGGAGCTCGGTGATGGCTAGAGAGGAATTTATTGCATTATTGTTTGTACTTTTGTGCACATTTAAAAATAATGAACAATGAAAAATTAAAGAGAAATGCTGAGAGAGAAATTGCTGCTAGTCCTGCTCACCTGCTCCCCTCTCAGCATTCATGTCACTGCACTGGGCCACTTCCCTTTCCCTGAGAACATCATTGGGGTTTGATCCATCTCTGTGATCCCAGTACCCACTGGCATATGGTGGGGGCTCAATAACTGTGAATTTGATAGAAAAGATGGGTAGCGATCTCAAGGGTAGGAGTCCCTCCAGGCCACTAAGACCAAGAGTTCCACAATTGGAGTCCCTCTGCTCTCACAGTGGAAGCTGCCCAAGCAGGGCTTGGGGGACTAGGCTGATAGGGGTGGGGGCGGGACATGTCCCCTGGGCAGATCTGACCCCAGGAAGCTTCTGACAGGGAGACCAGTGTGTGTTCTGGGTAGTCACCTCCTCTCAGCTCTCTCCTTCCCCCTTTCTCCTCTTCCCTCCATGATCTTTCTCCTCTTAGGCTGCTGTGCTGTCACTTTTCCTCAGCATCAGAACTCTCAGAAAAGGACTAGGAAGGTGTGAATGGCCAATCACACTTAACCATGATTCCTCCTCCACCAGTTTTCATCACCTAAATGAAGGTTGAGTCCTATGTTAAGGGGATGGGCTTAATTGGTGGCATTGTACACTCAGATCAGCCCTCACAAAAGTCTGAGGGGGTGGAGAAAGTGTTCCTGCCCCGAATTTATGTCTTAATTACAACAGTATGCTCTACTCATACATTGCGTTCTTCCTGGACTAGGATCAGAGAGGTGGGCTGATCAACCCAGGTAAGAACATGAGCAACCCAGGCAAGAATATCTTCACTCCCGTGCTCTCTAGGGATCATGGCAGAGAGGGGACAGATAGAAAGGCCACATTTCATCCTCGATTAACACTTCACCTGGCCTCCTGTGACTCAACCCAAGGAGGCTGCAAGTAGAATGGCTATCCTCTATAATGCCAGCAATGCCCTCTGTTCCCTCCCTGCTGGGTATGAGGGATGCATGCCCCACAACCCACCCAGCAGAGGCACCCTCTTAGCCCAGGAGACCTCATGGATACAACCCAAATCCTTAAGGACAGTCCCAGGAAAAATGCAGCTCGTCAGTGCTCATCTCCAGCTCTTCCAGCCTTGCCATCCAGAGCCATTCCCTACCCCCAGACCTCGGGACATCATGCTATCTACCCCTACATCCAAACTTGCTCTCCCAGATAGCAGGAAACATGCAGATTGAGGTATAGATGGCCAGTAAGCCTTCTCCTATGACGCCCCCAGAAGAATCATTTGTATTTCACAATGTACAAGATTGTAAGCCAGAGGAAAAATCTCCATCACTGTCGTCACAACTGTCCTATGTTGGGCTTTCAAGATGCTCTTAAAAATCATATAACGTGTATTTGTGTTCTACTGCTATCTAACCAATTGCTACACACCTAGTGTAAAACAACACCGATTTATTTTATCATAGTTCTGTGAGTCAGTAGTCTGGGCACAGCTCATCTGGGTGCTTGGTTCAGGATCTCACCAGGCTAAGATCATGATGTCAGCTGGGGCTACCATCCCATCCAAGCCTCAGGGCCTCTTTCAAGCTCACTGTTGACAGAATTCAATACTAGTTCCTGGTGTTATAGGACTGAGGCCCTTAGTTACTAGAGGCTACTTGCTATTCTCTGCCATGTGGTCCTCCCATAACATGGTAGTGTGCTCCTAAAGGCCAACAGGAAAGAAGTCCCGTCTGGAATTTCACCCTTCTGATTAGGTCAGACCCACCCAGGACAATCCACTGATTGGTAACTTAATCATAGGAGTGATGTCCTATCATATTCATTAGTCCCACTCATACCCAAGGGAAGTATACACCAGGAGGTAGGAATCACAGGGGCCACCTTAGAATTCTGCCTGTCATAGCAAGTGGACACGTGCCTACTTGATCTAGGTATGACCTCGTGGACCCATGAGAAGCACAGGTACCTGCCTTGGCCACATTCTATTCCCGCAGAAAGCACTCTAGAAGGAAGAGACTGTGGGAGCTTGGCTCATTCTCCCTGCTGGATCCTGGCATAGTACCTGAGGCTGAGATGGAGATCTGGCCTTGGCCTAGGCAGCTTCCCCAAGGGGAAGTGTAGAGAGTAAGGAGAACTATTCATTTTCATGCCTCTTTTTCCTCAATTTCTGTATGTCTTTCACCCCTCCTCAAGAAACTGACCAGAGGCAGAGACTTCATATCTACTTCCCACCTGGCCTATTCAGACTTCTAGGGAAACCTCAGGCCCAAGAGCATTCTTTCAGGTTGTGTGATGCTGTCAGCCACAGAAGGAAGATACAAAATCCATTGTCTGAGATGTTTCCAAAATTACAAAGGGGGTGTCAACCCACTTGAAGGAAAAGATTGGCTGAGATGACCCTGGAAGCCCCTTTTCCTGCTAGTGTGGCCTACACTGCGCCCGAGCAGCAAAGAAAACCACACTGACATTCCTGAGTCCATCCCATTAAGTCTTCCACTGGATGTTGAGCCCCATGAAGACAGAGGCTCTGTCTGCCATGTTTTCTGGTCTCTTCCCCAGTGTGTGGACAGGGCTCAGCACATAGTAGGCCTTCTGTGGGTGTATGCTGGGTAAATTAGAGAATTAATTCCAAAGTTGATTTTGTGGAAACCTACTTAGAAACCTTCCCAATCTGATCTTGGTGTGTCCATGCACCCTCCAGACTCTTTCACTGGCGTGTCCACCCTCCCCTGCCCATCTACCCTTTCCACCTGCCTGCAGACCCTCCCAGATCTCCCCAGGCAACCCTGTAACTTCACTGGAGTTCTCTGCCCGGGGCACCAGCCTGAGTGAGCTCTTTCATTATCTATTTTCCACAGAACCTCTCGGAAGACTAGTTTGCCCTCCACTTCCCTGCAGGAACAAATGACAGACTACTGAGCCCAGCTCGTGCCCTGACTCCTGTGAGCTGGCCCCTGTTGCCTCTCACCTCACACAAGGGTCTCAGGATGCTCAATGATGCCCTGCTCATTGCTCAGCCCCAGGACCCTCATCAGCCTCGCTCCTCCCTCCTTTTTTTTTTTTTTTTTTTTTTGCAGTTTTTGGCCAGGGCTGGGTTTGAACCCACCACCTCTGGCATACGGGCCGGCGCCCTACTCCTTTGAGCCACAGGTGCCGCCCCCCACTCCTCCCTCCTTTCTGTAGCTCTTGATGTTTTCACTACGCAGCTCTCCCCAGCACTCATGACCCAGCTCTCCTAGGTCTTCCTGTCTCTCTTCAGCACCTTCATCCTGTATTCTGGCCATAAATTCCCTACACATGCTAGTCACAAGTCACACATGTGCCACCTTCCAGTGTCCACACACATTTTAACTTTCCCCCATGCACCCTGGACATCTTCCATGACTTGTCTGTTGGAAATCATTGGAGCAGCCCCTGATAGGTGATAATTAACCACTAATTAGGAGGGAACTGTGTCACATACATGTTCCCCAGGCTAATGCCTTCTCACCCTGCCTGTCTCCCCTAGGAGGCCTCGTCCACTGCCATTGTGCTGGGATATACTGAAGAACAAGCATCACCCAAGGGAGACACCCAGGCCCAGACTCGCCGCTTCCGTGCTGGCTCCTCTCGGACACATGTACCATCTCTGGCTCTCAGTCTTCCTATCTGTTAAGTGAGGCTCACCCTGATGACTCCACACCTTGCTGTGGGGATTAAATTGTTTCATGCAGCACCCAGCAGATGCTTAAGAAGTGGTAGGTACTTGGTGATGACAATGATTATGTCAGTGATCCTGCAATCACTATTCCTCTCCTTGATCATAGACCTGCATTTCTAACCCACGGATCCCTCTGCCTCTACAAAGCCATTGTCCCCCAAACCCTGTCCAAATCCGATTTCCATGGCTTCCTTACTGGTCTAACGACATTTGGCCTGCACTGCATATTACCCAGTCTGGGAAACTTGCCTTTATTCCTGGGTCCTTGCTGCCCCATTCAGTATGTTTGTCAGCCTCCCGTAGCCTCGTGGCCTCCACCCCCAGTACCCTTGACCTTCTCACCAGAGGTGACCACATGGGGCTCACTTGGGCCACCCCCAACAGCCTCCTCACTGCCTCCTGTGTCCTTCTCACTCCAGGGCAGATGCGACACAGGCCTTTGCTTGAGAACCCCCCCCCAAAAAAGCAAAATGCTTCCTCCTGGCTTTCCAACCCTAACCACTGGTCTTTGGCCTGCCTTCCAGCACCCCTGACAAAGTCCACACCACACAGCAGCACTCCTGGTCCGCCCCAACCGCGCTAGGTGGCCCTGCTGGAGCAGGTGCTGGTGCTTAGCTCCTCCCTCAGCCAGAACACTCCCCATCCTTGATTCCCACTCTTGTCCGCCTTCCTCTAGGTAGAAATATCCCCTTCTGCAAGGGACATCTCAAATGTGCCTCCTCCAGAAAACATTCTCTATCCAAAACCAGAAGGGTCACCCTGCTGAGGGCCCCATTTGAAAGTATTGTTTCAAACTTCTCTTTGATTTGATGCTTAGTTTCCTCCACAATCTTCGTCATATTTGTCCACCCATTCTTCCCTCGCCTTCCCCTCCCCCAGGCTCCAACAGAGTGCAAGTTATTTGCAGCATTAAACAGGTCTTAGTTATCCCACCCCACGCAGAGCCCCCAGCACAGTGCCCGGTGAACAGCTGCTCTGCGAATGGTGTTTGAATCAGTTCTGGGATCACCACTGTTCAGTCCAATCAGTCCAGCACTGTCCTCTTCCACTGACCCTAGCCAAGGCTGCTGCACCCCCTTCACTGTGCCCCACTGCTTCTTTCCCTCATTGCAGCCCACCCACCATGCTCACCACCAGCCCTGCACAGAGCTCCCTTGGCTCCCAGACTGCCCCTCACAGGAGATGTTATTCTCCACCTCCGTGTTCCTTGTGCCCAGAGCTGGGCCTTAATGAACGTTTGTAGACATAAACTCAGCTGAACACTCTGTACCCCAGGGGAAAGACAAATCCATGCACAGGCATGTTCCTTCTGTGTTTCCTAGCACCAGGGACGTGCTCCGTGTTCCGCACATGGGAACAATGATAGCAAGAGCAGGGCAGTGTCTAAGGTATGACTCCCAGAGCCCTGCTCTTTATGCAACTACTCAGTGAATGGCACCCCCAGAGGTGTTTGGAGACAATCTGCCAATTCTGTGACAGCCCTGAGAACAACACAGTCCTTGCTCTCATGAGCAGGAGGGGTCCCAGAAGGCACAGAGCAAATGACAGGCACTCAGCAAATGCATGTACCCAGGCCCTGGTCTGAGCTGAGCCCTGAAGTATGAGCAAAAGTCACCCAGGTGTGGCAGGACTGGGGACAGTGAGGAATGTTCCCAGTAGGGGAGGCCCAGAGGCAAAGGAGGGACTGGTGAATAGGAGTGGCTGGGACAGGAGGGGCAGGGGGGTGCTGGAGAGGCCTTTATCCCACATACTGCAGGAGCCATCTGAGGTTTCCATGCAGTGGGGGCAGTGTGACCAGAAGTGCACTTTGCAGAGATGATATGCTTCAACATGCAGGTGGGGCTGGATGAGGCTCAGCTTGAAGCGTGGGAACCAGTTAGACGCTCTGCATGGCAAATACAAGTGGGTAGGATGGCCTGGCCTCAGTTAGGGCAGTGGGGATGGCATGAAAGGGTGGGATTCGGGAACCAGTTAAGAGGTAGCATTAGTGGGACTCAGGGGGAGAGCAGAGGTGGAGAGAGACAAGCTAAGGAACCCTCCCCGGAGGCTCTGGACTGGCTGCCAGAGGAGGCCTGATTGACACCTCTGGAGGTGCCATTCACCACAAAATTGCATGAAGAGCAGGGCTCTTGACAGTCATGCCCTTGACACTGCCCTGCTCTTGCTATCATTGTTCCATGTGCAGCGCCATCCCTGGTGCTAGGAAACCCAGAAGAACATGCCCGTGCATGGATTCGTCTTTCCCCTGGAGCACAGAGGGTTCGGTTGAGTTCATGTCTACAAATGTTCATTAAGGAGGCAGGTTGGTGGGCTGGGGAGGTAACGACTGCCCAAGACTCTTTCCAGTCCAAGGCTGTGGGATCCTGTGTGGATGGCACAAACATGGGATCAGAGCACCAAAGTCTAGATCTCAAGGAAACCAGAGGGCAGAGTCAGGTCCTGGCTCCAGGCTGTATGCCCATCCCATCCTCCTCTATGTTACTAAATTATTGTTTCACCCTTTTCCTCCAAGCATCTTCATCATGCCAGACACTGTCAAGCACTGGGGATATAATGGTGTGTGAGTCATGTGCCCGGCTCAGAGAAAGCAGCCAAGCTAACACAGGGCTTTAGGGTTGTAACAGGAAACGCGACAGGGAATGCCTAGGACAAGGGGCCCCTAGGGAGGGTAGGGAGAGCTGCCAGAGAAAAGCAAGGATCACCCAAATTGAGTCCTAAAGCCAGAGAAGGCCAAGGACAGGAGTGATGAGAGGAGTAGGACCTGCAGAGTTAGAGGCAAAGGGGAATAGCATGGAAAGCCCCAAAGGGATACACGAGGCAGCTGAGTCCCAGAGAAGGCAAGCAACTTGCCCACGGTCACACAGTTCTTTGGCAGAAGATAGGACATCTCAGTCTCTTGTAAATGTGGGCCATGTTTTCAACCCCTTTTTGCCCTCTTCCTCCCACACCCACCCTATGCTTGACCTAGGGAGATAACATGAGCCTGGGATTCATCTATGCCCCAAGGCAGGACTCGCTGGCCCCTATTAGACCCTCTGCCAGTCCTCACCTCACCTGACTCCATCTTACTGGCCTGAGTGAAAACTTCTGCACTAGAATTATGCCTGTCATAGGAGTGGCCCCCAGTGCCCATCAGAGAACTCTCCATGCTCCCTGTTAGGATTGGACTCACTCTCCTGCCCAAGCCAACCAACATGGTTAGCCAGTCAATTGACTGGATACTCCCTAAATGGAACTGTAGTCTCTTTGTGGGTTAGCTAGGGAGTGTGCTGTTTTCTTCTTAGTACCATGCTCCCTTGTGGCTTTGCATATTATAATTATTTTTAAAAATATATTCACTCAATGAGCTCTTACTATGCCCAGGACACTCTGCTAGATGCTGGGGGAAGGGTACAAAGACAAATGTGACATGTTCTCCTGTCCTCAAGGAGCAAAGTCATATGGAATTGAGAGCACTCCTTCATCTAGGCCAACTGCCCCCCTAAGATCCCACTGCAGTGCCCCAGGCAATTGTCATCCAGCCCTCACCTGGGGTTCCCAGTAACAAAGAACTCATTGTGCACAGGGCAGTCTATATTTTTAGCAGGTCTATTGTATAGCCTGGGGCCTGCGATTTAAAATCCTGTACTGTAAACTCAAAAATTCTCTCAGAAGGTAGATCTTATGTTAAGTGCTCTTATTAATTACAAAAGGAAAAAAAAAGAGAATGTCAGGAAACTTTTGGAAGGGATGGCATTCATAGCTATGGTTTTACGGCTTCATGAATACATGCTTATCTCTTCTGAGCTTATAGTCACATGAAACCCTAAGCCTTTCTCCCTGGTCCAGGGCTGCTCAGCTTATACTAGTGTGCTGTGGGCTTTTCAAAGCTAAAAGCAGAACTTCAGATTTTTCCCTATTACATCTGACTTTTTTTCATTTAAACCATGTTTCTGTCCTGATGAGATTTTTTTCGGTCTTAGATTTTATCATTGAGGTATTAGCTGTTCTCTTTCCATTTTATGTCATCAGAAAGTTTGGTAAATATAACTTTTATGCCTTTATTCAGTGCCTGGTCAAAGTGGTTAACATGGACAGGACCAAGGACAGTGCTCTACTCACCTCCCAAAGAATTAGCACTGATCAATGTTGGTTTTTTGTTTTTTGTTTTTAACAATCTGCTTGAGAATAACCCACTTGACTATACTGTCATCTAATCCACATATTCCTATCTTGTCTACATAGCTATCTTTGGAGATTTGGTCAAATCCTTTACTGAGAGGCAGTTGCACTACCCCCAGCTGGCCCCTGATCTGAGATAATAGCTTGGAGTCAATGCCAAAGAGAGAAACGAGGTTAGCTTAGCTGGATTCAGTGGCCTTCCTTCCAGCTTCAATTAAGATTCATCTTGTCCATTGGGCTGGAGAGTGGTTCTTCCGAACCTACACATTTTGGAGCCAGGAGGGATCCTGGAGGCAATTCAAGGCCTAATTCTCATTGTTGCTGATGAGAAAACCAAAGCCCAGAGTGTTTAACTGATACACCCAAAGTCACAAAGTTAATCAGAAGAAGAAAGAGGATTGGATCCCGTGTCTTTGTCTCCAAGTTCAAAGCTCTCTCTTGCCAGTATCACATCATCACGTCTCTCTCTAAGCACACACACACACAGACATACTCAAATACACACACTTACACACCTTCCTTTGGGTCTCTTAACTATCCAGTTAAGAGATAGTTAGACAAACCGAGGCATTGTCTGGGTGTTCAAAGGGAGCCCATGACTGAGCACTTCTCCCTGCTTTACAGAATGGAAGATAGAGGCCTAGAGCCCCTCCGTAGAGTTTGTTTTCTAACAGGGGATCTATGCACCCTCCCCCGCAGTCTGGACTGATCATGGGGAGTCTCAGCCTATCTAGATGAGACCACTGCTCTTGTATCCCCTCTGAGGCTTGGGTGGGCACGTCCCTGGGCTGTCACTTGTAAGCAACGAGTGGAGGTGGGACTTTCTCAGAGAACAATGGACTGTGTGCCCAGTGCCTCAGCGGGCCACTTAGGCTTCCTGTGCATTGTGAGAAGCAGGGACCCTGGACACACAGCTTGAGAGCCTGGCATGGCAAGGGCACACACTGTGTGGGGTGTAGGCCCTGAATGGGAGTGAGGCAGTGCCGCTGGCTGGTTCCTCGAGGGACTGGGCTATAGTGAAGGGCAGATTAGATCACTGTTTGAGAGAACTGTGACAAAAGAGGTGTGCCTGCAGCAGAGGGGGCCCAGATGGGGAGACCCCTGGTACCCTGGTCAGCCCTGAAAGGCAGGGCCTCTTCACCACCCTTCCCGCCCCCCTTGGAGGCCCTGGGTACCTGTTTATTCTTTAGGTCAAGGGAGAGTTCGTAATCGGAGGCAGCAGGGGTGTGGGAGCAGAGCGCTGTAGCCAGGGCAGGCTGCTGCTGGCCAGGGGAGGCCGCGCGGTGGGGGCCAGCCCTCGAGGGGGCACCCCCCGCCCCCAGCTGCTCCTCCTCCTCCCGCAGCTCCAGATCTTGAGCCTTCAGGGCATGGGCACTGGGTCTGCCGGCTGCCACCACCGCCGCTGCCACCATGGAGTCCTCCATGCCCCCACCGGCCTGGGCGCAGGAGCCATCACTGTGAACAAAAGGCAACGGTGCTCGGTGCTGGGTCGGGGGAGAGGGAAATGGGATGCATGAGGAAACTCTGGGCCAGCCTTTCCACTGGGTGACAGGCCTTTCTAGTGACAGAGACTGGCTAGGGTATCTACGGAGGGCAGAGCCCCTGGCAAGAAGGAGGAGCAAGGCAGAGAAGATGAGCCCGAGGAGGATCCCAGATGGGGGAGGGGCAGCCATGGCCTGAGCTCAGGAGCCTCTGTGCAGACTGTGGCTAGCTCTGGGCTCTGCCTCTTATTAGCTGTGTGACCCCTGTTTCCCACTCATAGGGATGTTGGGAGGCTTAAGTTAGTGAAAATTATCAAACTTGTGTCTGGGTCATGGTCACTGCTGTGCGGAAGTGTTAACTACTATAACCATCAGTGGCCTTGTGCCTTGGCCATTGCCTCAGGTAGCTGGGGGGAGCCGACTCACACGGGATCAGTTCTCTCTTCAGACTACCCAGGGAGGGAGGATGCTATAAGACCTGGCTTAGGCATGAGCCCTCTGGGGTGGATGAACTCTAGCTCTGGGGCCCAGGTCAGTGAAGACAAGGGCTCTTGCCCTGCTGGGTGTAGGGAAGCTTCAGCTCCTCCCTGGGGAGCCATGGATGTGGTTCTCCTGCCTATGCTAATAAGACACATCTCTGGCTGGAGCAGCCACACTGCAGCCTGCCCTGAAGAGTGAGTTCCCTGAGGTTTCTTCCCTCCCCACCTGCCTCTATGTTCTGCCCCTCCCTGGAGGTCCAGGGCTGAGCTGCCTCCTCCATGAAGTCTTCCAGAATGATGGCTGCTTTCACTGCTCTGTCTCTTAGAATACAGGAGCTGTCCCTAGAGAGTCTCTGTCTATTTCCCAGAGGAGCAGCAGCAAGGTGGTCAGCAGCACAGGCTCAGTCCAAGCCCTCCCCACTGCGCAGCTGCGGCAAGTCACTTTTCCTCTGCCCGTAGTTCTCTCCTCTGTGTAACAGAGGGCCTAGCACCTGCCTTACAGGGTGAGATGCGGAGAAAAGGTGTTTAGCATGGAGTGTGTAATCAGTGAACAAACTAACCCCCATCTGCCCCTTTCTAGAGGCCAGGGCCCATATGTTATTTTATTTACATCTCCATAAGTGCTGGGAAAATGTTGAGTACTTGGGGATGGGTGAATTGAGGGGAACCCTTCTGCCACTCTACAATGGACAGTGGCAGAAGGTCAGACCAGAAAGGACCTCCAGCAGTCCCCATTGCCCATTGTGGAGTCCCCAATCTCCACTTTTTTATAGATGAGGAGCAGGGCACAGGGAGCTGGGGTGGCTCTGGTACAGGTGAACCAGGCAGCCTGAGGACTTGTTTCTTCTGGGACTTTGCTGCCATGAGAGATGCCCCAAATCTCCCCAGGGGAAGGACCTCCCCCTGCTGCTTCCACCCACCTCAGGAGGTACAGCAGTGCCCCTGCAGCTGGAGCAACTGAGGGTGGGACAAAGAATCCTCCTCACTCTCTCCACCTGCCCTCCCATCTGTCCTCCCCATACTCCCTGCGCCCCTGCAGGTAGAGGAGCGCTGGCTGCTGGCCGGCTGGCCCTGGCAGCAGGGACTCCTCACTGCTGCTGTATCTCTCTCTGCTCCCCTGTTTCTCATGGGGCCGCCAATCACACTGCATGGCTGGAAGGAGCTCTAGATGTTTTTCATGTGCTTTTTCACTGACATCACCAGAAAGTTCTTTCTAAGGTCTAACTTCAACCCTTCTTCCTATAATACATGCCCTATCTTAACTCAAAGCACATGAAAATAGCTTTTTCCTGCCACTAGCACAGCTTGTGTCCAGGACCTGGAGGGTAGTGTTAGGTCTCACCCATCTCTCCTCCAGACTGTCCTTGGCACTGATGCCTGCAGCCTCTCCAGGCCAGACCATTTTCCAGGGTGTTTAGGGAACTGGTGGCTACTGGGATTAGCCTTTTCCTCTCTTTGATTGCTGGAGTGTGTGTGGCAGGAGGTACTGCAGAGTTATTCCCCTGATAGCCACACTCAGCCAGTGACAATGGGGACCACTGGATACATTTCCCAGCTCCCTTGTGCTTTGGGTGGGACAACTCTGAGGCACGTTCTCCACCGTCTCCCAGGTGTTGCCAGTGGGGTAGATCCCCAGTCATCAAAGCTGTGGCTGGATCGTTGGTGAACCCTGCCTTGGTTTCCTTCTCTCTTGTTTTCTCATTTTCTCCTGGGAGTCACCATGTCCTAAATAAACTACTTGTGTTAACACAAAACAAATTTAAAAATCACCTTCTATATGGGCCTTTGGTTGTGGGCCACCCTTCCAGAGACAGAGAAAACTTTCATAAGGCCTTTTCACCTGCACACATTCACAGAGCCTGGGAGTTAGGCCTCCCTTCTGCAAAGTCCAATAAGCACACAAGCACGTGTGCATACACTCTCAGGCACACATACGCATGCACACTCATGCACACACTCTCATGTGTGCACACACACACTCACACATGCAT